CCATGCCCAGCTTCTCACCCCAGTCTCAACAGTGTGTTATTGGTGTTTGCTCTGAACATGCCTCTTCTAAACTGCCCACCCAGAGGGGCAGGGCTTCCCCAATCCTGGCACACATGGAGGGAGCAGGACTCAGACACGCTTAGAAATGCAACCCCTCAAAAACCTGGCTCACATGACTGGGTAGGAATGGGGTCAGACACTCCACATCCTGGCACATACCGAAGGGAACAATGTGGGGGTGACAGGCACCCCTCCCCCATCCCCTCCAAGCACCCTGCCATTCACCCCTATGTGTCCTTCCCCCTCACCTGAGATCTCCAGCCCCCTCACCTCCTCTGCCACCCATCCCCATTTATCCCCCTCCCTCAATGCAGCCCCAAATCCCTCTCACCTTTATTCCCCCCACTTCTGCACCCCTAAAATGCTCTTCACCAGCAAGCATTCATGTAACTAATTCCCCAAAATAGCACTCTCCTCCGACACACATTTTAGCAATCTGCTATCCTGCCATTTCCAAATGTCTCCCCAAGTGGGAGGTCAAACTGATTTGAGGTCAGGATCAAAGGACAACTGACTATTCTGTTGAGCTATCCAGCTGCTGTAGAATAGTAAAGGCTAACAATCCTGTTAACTCTTATGTCTGCACGTGATCAGTTTAATCCATTCAGAGTGACATTTGGAAGGGGAGGCTTCTGATACTGTTGTGATGGGTTGGGTCACAGAAGCCCCCTTGGAAACTGCCACGTGATGCGCTGGGATTACCTCTGAGCCCGTTTTCCCTGGCAGGTTGGGACTTCAGTACCTTGCCTGATTGTGCCAGACACACTAGCCTGCTACAAACATGTCCCCAAAAAGCTGCAGGCTTAACTGAAAACGGCTTAAGAAGTGTTCCTGTCTCCAACACCCAGATACCCAGTTCCCAATGGTATCCAACCCCAAATCAATCCATTTTACTCTGTATAAAGCTTATACAGGGTAAACTCACAAATTGTTAGTCCTCTATAACACTGATAGAGAGAGATGCACAGCTGTTTATTCCACCAGGAATTAATTGCTTGCTCTGGGTTAATTAATAAGTAAAAAAGTGATTTTATTAAATATAAAAAGTAGGATTTAAGTCAGGGGTGGCCAACCTGAGCCTGAGAAGGATCCAGAGTTTATCAGTGTAAATTGCCAAAGAGCCACAGTAATATGTTAGCAGCTCCCCACCCCACTCCCAGTGCCGCCCACCCACCGGCAGCCCCGCAGATCAGTGACTTCCCCTCCCTCCCTGCACCTCCCAATCAGCTGTTTCATGGCATGCAAAAGGTTCGGGGGGGGCAGGGGGAGGCCCGAGGGCATGGCAGGCTCAGGGAAGGGGGCAGGAAGGGGTGGAGTGGGGGCTGGGCCTGTGGCAGAGCCAGGGGTTGAGTAGTGAGCACTCCCCCAACACACTGGAAAGTTGGTGCCTGTAGCTCCAGCCCCGGAGTCGGTGCCTATACAAGGAGCCGCATATTAACTTCTGAAGAGCTGCATGTGGCTCTGGAGCCACAGATTGGCTGCCACTGATTTAAGTGGTTCCAAGTAATAACAGACAGAATGAAGTAAGTTACCAAGCAAAATAAATAAAACACACAAGTCTAAGCCTAATACAGTAAGAAACTAAATGCAGGTAAATCTCACCCTCAGAGATGTTCCAATAAGCTTCTCTGACAGACTAGACTTCCTCCTAGTCTGGGTCCAGCAATCACTCACACCCCTGTAGTTACTGTCCTTTGTTCCAGTTTCTTTCAGGCAACTCTTTGGGGTGGAGAGGCTATCTTCTGTGCCAGATGAAGACAAAATGGAGGGGTTTCCCAGGGCCTTATATAGTCTCTCTTGTGGGTGGAAACCCCTTGTGTTTTCCTATGCAGAACCACAGCTACAAGATGTAGTTTTGGAGTCACATGGGAAAGTCACATGTCCATGCATGACTCCGTTCTTTACAGGCCGATGCCATTGCTTACATGTTAGTTTGAACATTCTCAGGAAAGCTCAGATGTGGATTGGTGTCTCTTAAAGTCCATTGTCAGCTTAAGTGTTTCTTGATTGAGCACTTACTGAGAATAGTCTTTTCTCAAGAAGCTGACCAAATGCTTCACTGAGGCTACTTAAAATCAAACAAGTACATAGCCAATATTCATAACTTTGAATACAAAAATGATACACACCTATAGACAGCATAATTATAACCAGCAAACTACAACCTTTTCATAGACAACCCACTTGGCCTTCTTTGTACAAGACCAGGTGCAACAATGATCTGTAAATCACAGCTCCTGTCAATAACATCACAACGGTAATGTAGAGAAGCAAAATATGTTTTAATTTGATTTTCTCTGTTGGAGGAACCCTCGAGTGCTGGGCACCCTGGCCACAATGATCTGAGCCCTGGTTTGATCTCTCCCTGTGGGCATGTCCACACTGCAATTAAAAACTTGTGACTGGCCTGTGCCAGCTGACTTGGGCTTGCAGGGGCTGTTTAATTGCAGTGTAGTTTTCCGGGCACTGGCTGGAGCCTGGGCTCTAGGACTTTTGATGTCAGAACTCGGGTTGGCAGCCAGAACCTGGAAGTCTACACTGCAATTAAACAGCCTCAGAACCTGATGCCCAGAGCCCAAATCAGCTGGCAAATTCAGGGGCTTTTTTCTTTCCCAAATGTTCGGGTTCCCCTCCTGCGACACTCTACACTCTGGGAGAGCACCCAGTGACCCACATATTCATCATTTGTATATAATTGTGATATTGCATACAAAGTATGCCATGTGAGGTATTATGAGAAATGTTATGATCTGCTGAAATCCGGATTGTTCCATCTAAATTTGCATATCATTAATATATATGAAGTTATAAGAATTGTGTTGTATAGTTGTCACTAAAATATGCTGTGAGTTTGGGAAGTGCCTAGATACTAGCTCCCAAAAGGCAATAACCAGCGGTATACCGAATGCCCATGTGGGTGTCGAACATCCATTAATCGCATTGTCCAGCAAGGGAGTTACAATTCAGTGACTCACTTGCACAAGGCCACACGAGGCAATTTGCTCAACCTTGCCTGGTGACTCAGCAATGCCCACCAGACATGCCTGAACTTATGTTCTCTAAGCACGTGGACTAAGGGTATAAAACAGAACACGGTAGCTCCGTGCTTTTCTTTTTTCTTTTCTTTTTCTTTTTTTTTTCCTCTCCTTTCTCCACACCTATGGTGCAAGCAACAAAGACGCACTAAAGATTCCAACAGAGGAGACTGGCACAGGTTTTAAGGGTGAAATTTGTGTATTATGAACTGTAACATCCAGTGGGATGAGAAAACTGCTTGCTTTAAATATTACCTAGCGTCTTATAGGTTTAAGATTCAGACTGTGCACTTATTTTGTTCTTTCTGGTAACTAACTCTGACTTTTTGCCTATCACTTATAATCACTTAAAATCTACCTTTTGTAATCAATAAACATAGTTTAATATTTATCCTTACCAGTGAGTTTGACTGAAGTGCTCAGTAAATCTGCTCAGGTTTCAAAGGCTGGTGTATGTCCACTTTCCATTTAATTTCCAATTAATAAACTTGCATTTCTCAAGAAAGGGTCTTGAGCAGTGCAACACAGTGTATTCCTAAGGTACAACTCTTGAGGCTGGGGGGATTTGGCTGGTGCCTTTCTGTATGATTCATGAGTGGCTCTGGGAGCATTCACACAATCTAGCTGGGTGTGGGGCTCCACATGCAGTTGTGCTGAGAGGTAACAGCACCTGGACTGCTTTGCCTCTTGCCACCAGTAAGGCATTGTGAGAGACACCCCAGAATAGAGAGTAAAGGGGACAGAGCAGTCCCACAGTCACAGATTGTACCTCGGGGTTCCTGTCACTCCTCCCCTTTGGGCAGAGTAACAATATTATAAGGCACATGAGGTGGTGAAGGAGGCTGTGCAGGTGACAGCTCTGGTGGAAGGGGTTTTTCGACATGTGTGCAAGTTTTAGCAGGTGGGGTGGGATCATGCTTGGGTGTGCAGGGGGCTCAGTGTGAGGCCATGAAGGAGGACAAAGACAACTATACTTGCGGGTGGTCCTTGAAGTTCACATGGGCAGAACCAACCTGCTGCCATGGTTACCCACTCAGCTGGCTGGCAGCTCCATCAGGAGCCCAGACTCTGCAGGGGGGTTACAGAAACCAACAGAACTTCTGCTTTTATAACCTTTCCAGAGACTCTGGAACAAGCCCTGCCAACAGAGTCACACAGTCAACCTCCTTTCAGGGGCTCTTCCCTCCCCGAAACTCTGGGGAACCCCCTGCCATGGGGATCTTCTTCTTTGTCTCCCCCGCTTTGATCTCTGGTCTCAAAGGAAGGTGGGTGTGATGATGGCAGTGCTGGGCCTCGCAGCTGCCTCCCCTCCCCAGGCCTGAGGGTCAGAGCTGGGGGCAGAGTTAGGAGACATGTGCATCCTGCAGGGGTGCAGCAGAGCTAGTGCCACGGGTGCGGAGGGGAAGGATCTCCCAGCTCCTGCTCTGAGCCTGGCCCAGCTGCCTGGGGAGGGGGCTCCCCCTGCAGCCTCCCAGTAGCAATGGGGCTGCTCTGATTGGGTATCACCATCCTGGGGCTGATCAGTGCAGAGTGGGCAGGACTTAAAGGGCAACATTTTACCCTTTCTGAATTCTGGTTGGTCAATGTAAAGGGTGAGGGGACGGTGCTTAGGAAGGGAGTCTTACTCCAAACCTCATTGGTCAGTGGCAGACATTTGAAGTGTCTGGGCCATTCTCACGTTTGATTGGTGAAGGGCAAAGGGTGGAGTTTAGACAGGAAGTCCCACCCACTGCTGGTTTCTCTTTGGACAAGAGGTGGTACTTGGGTCAGAGCCTGTAGCAAGACTCATTCTTGATGCTGATTGGTCAGGCAGAGGGGCTGGTGGGTGGGGCCACCTGTCAGACCAGTTGTGACAAACTCCATTCATGCATTGATCCCCCTTCTCTGCCTTTCTCTCTCCTGCAGGTTGTGGAAGTGCGGTGCCACAGCCGCTGGCTGTGGGGATCTCGCTGCTGTTCTCCGAGCCAGCCAGAGCCTGACAGAGCTGCAGCTGGGTGAGAATAATCTGGGAGATGCTGGAGTGCAGCTGCTGTGTGAGGGACTGAAATACCCAAACTGCAAACTGCAGAGACTGCGGTAAGAAACAGCCGGCTCCCTTTAGTCTGTGCCTGGTAACACTGATGCTGTGAATTACACTCAGGGTACCAGGAAGGATCACAACATCCTACAGTGCATGTAGTGGGCTCAGGCTTCAGCCCCTGTGGAGCAGGGACAGCAGCTGGGCAGCTGCCCTAAGAAGCAGCTAAGGATCCCCCTGACTCAGGGTAATCCTCTGGTAGTAGAAAGCAGGTATTGAGAACTCTGTATCACCCACTTCCTGCATTGCCCTGCCCCCATTTATGGGGTGTGGAGGAGCATGGAGGTGTATGTCCGGGGCAGAGTGCATGGTGCTCCACCTCTCCTAGGCCGGCACAGCATCTGGGGTAACTTACAGCAGCCCTAAGGTTCCTCTGTGTTAGACCACAGGTTGTTTTGTCCCCCACCTGGCCCAGGATCAGGGCAGTACAGAGGTGGGTTATAACCCGTTTCTTCAGTCTCATCAGTGCTGAGTGTGAAGTTGGTGCAGCTGAGGACAGAGTCCAGTGGTTTTTAGCAAATCCCAGATGCAGCATATTTTGATGTTACAGACAATTATTTTAAGACCAAAAAACCCCCAACAACCCAGTACCGCCAACTTTAACACATCAAAAATCATGAATTAAACCCCCCCCAAAACCATGAGACTTGGATTTTTTTTTTTTAAACTTGTGGTGGGTTTTTTTTAGTCTACCTTTTGACTTTTAAACTCTGCTCTACTCCTTTGCTAATGTGAGATATCAGGTTGAAAAATCAATCTTTAATGTACACAAAAATTCATGTCTCTCCCTGGTTGCTCAGATAGAGACTGCATTTAATTTCTCCTCCTCTATCATGTAGAGGAACTTCTATTGCTTTCCAGTGACCTTCTTGACTTTCTCCCCTCCAAATTTGTTTCCTTGGATAAAAGAGAGGCTGTATTGTAAACTTAAGGACCACTGATCTCCCACTTGCACAAACAACTTACACTACTTGTTAGGGTTGATGAGTTATAGATATGTATTAAAGAACTAAAAATTTATTCATATAAAAGCTATAAGCCAGGGGTGCGGAACCTATGGCTTGTGGACCGGATCCAGCCCCTTGCTCATTTTCATTTGGTCCTCAGGCCACACACGTTCAACTCACCCGCTGGGGGCGACACTGAGGTTCTGGGCTTCCACCTGCAGCGGGGCAAGGTTTACAGCTCCAGCCCCATGGGGAGCGCTGAGGCTCAGGACTTCCTGCCTGCAGGACTGGAGCTGAAAGCACTGGCTCATCCCACCACAGGTGGGAAGCCCCGAGCCTCAGCACTCCCCAGCCCCGTGGGCCTGGAGACGCAAGCGCCAGCTTGTCCCACATGCATGGGGGGAGAAGCCCTGAATCTCAGCGCCCCTGGCTTATCCCACTGTGGGGGAAGCCCCGAGCCTCCGTGCCCCCTCAGGCAGATGAGTTGAATGTGTGTGGCCCACCATTAATTTTCAGTGTGTCAATGGCCTCTGATACAAAAATGGTTCCCTACCCCTGGTATAAGTGATAAAGTCACAGTAAACATATTATGGGATTGTTTTAGCCTTTTCCAAGAAGCAGCACTCCCCTGATCCCCTAACTACCATGTCTCTGCCAGAGACTAGACTGTGGCCCCCTAAATACTCCTCCTCTTCCTCCAGACCCTCCTTCAGCCTGCTCCCTTCTGTCCACCACATTGACCTACTACAGTCCATTTTCCTGCACTCCTAAATCTGCCTCCTTCTCCCTCCCCCATTGCCCTGCTCCCCCTCATTCGCTCCATCTACTTTTAGCCCTGTCCTTGGAACACCTCACAGACCCTGTGCCCTATCTACCCCCCCCCCCAAACAGAGTGGCAGCCATTTTGCCTGTGGGCATGGCTTCCATCTCACTGTAAACAGTAGGAGGTGACAGCCAACTTTATCAAGGGCAGCCCCACTTCCACGGACAGATGAACTATAGGGAAATGGCAGCCATATTGCTGGCTTCAGCCTCATTGGCAGTAATAGGAGATGGTGGCCATTTTGAAGAAGGGAAAATGTGCACCTTTCTGCCTTTCATAATGTTTTAAGGTCAGGGTGGGGAAATGTCAGTATTGCAAACTAGTGATTTTAGCACAACTCTTTTATGTAGTCCAGCCACTAGAGAGGGACAGAGTCCTACTAGGTAAGGATGGGTTACACTAGCACATTCCTTTCCTTAGAAAGGGACTGTCAAGCGGTCTGGGAGGGACTTATGAGTATGGGCACATACCAAGAGACAAGTCACTAACCAAGGTCAGTTTGCATCCTAGCTCTCACATCAAAGGCACTGCCATCTAATCCTACAGTAAGATCTTGAGAAATTCATTACTAAAGGGTATATCTACACAGGAATGTAAGCCCAGGCTCAAGCCTAATTGCCCTTGTGTACACATCAATTGTGTTAATCTAGGAGTCAAACCTAGGGTCCAGGACCCTGCAGGACTGGAGCATCTGAGCCCATTTTAAGCTGGGACCTAGGGTCCAAGCCCTATTTCTTTCCTCTGTGCAAGTGGCCCCGATTTTGACTCGGGTCCCTCCAGATGTAGTTGCCCCAAGTAACTCTGGGATACCTTAGTCCTCTCTATGCAGACAATTGGTGGTGCAGTCTATTGCACTCTATTGCAAACAGAAGCCACATCTCCCTTTGGAAACTGCAGCAGTTGACATCAGCATTAACCCGTCTGTTGAACAGCGGTCTGCCAGTGCACTGTCAGCAAGCTTGCTGGGTTTTCAATGGAGACTGATCAGAAGAAGCTTTTTGCAAAGAGCGCTGCTTCCTGGTCCCAAGATCACAGCCAGATTTTGGTGCACGCTGCCCAGGTGCCCTTGCACAAACAGCCCAAGGGAGGGTTATATGACCCCTAACACCCTGGCTGTTCCCCCTCCCTACAGGGCAGATGCTTGGTCCCCACTCTGCTCTCTGGCCCCCCTGCACTCCCTGGGCTGTGTGTGCAGAGGTGTCCAAGCAGCACGCAGTGTGAGGGCAGTGAGTGAGAGCCAGCCTCAAAACTTCCCCACAGACTCCTGGGGAATCCCTTATCCCTGCTTCCTGGGCTGTGGTGGGATGGTGGAGCACACTGCACCCCAAGCCCTGGGGATACACTTAATTGCTCCATAGCCAGCAGCAGGCAGGCTAGGTGGGGGTGTGTTTTTCCTCTGAAACCTACATTTTATGTCAAACATCAAAACAAAAATACATAAAAGAACCACACAAAACCACCTTCATTGAACAGCCCACTTTAAAAATTAATTGCAAAGTTTCATTTGAATAGTTTGACAGTCCTGGAGACTGATGTCCTAATTAGCCTCAGAACAGAAGCACATGGGCATTTTCCTGCCAGTGTGACTCTGCCTAGAGGTGGAGAACCCAACTCTCAGATTAGAGGGTAGTTCAATATTTTCACAAGCTGCAGTCATTCTACTGAAACAGCCACCAAAGGAGCTCCTTACGGGCACCTGAATCCCATCAACAGCACCATCACCGTTAGGAAATTGGGTGGGCAGTAAGTAGAGTGCAGCACATTCGTAGGGCTGGAGTGTTGACACTGGAGGGGGAGCGGGCGCTAGGCACTATGGGATTGGATTACTTTGACTGGGGTCTGTGCACTGCAGTGTGGGTGCCAGAGTCTAGGTTCAAGCACAGGTCAGAAAACTCTTAACCTAGGGTTAAAATGCAGAGTAGTTGCTCAAGCTCAGCGTTTCCAGACACAGGTCAGGTGACTCCAGTACCACTAACCCTAGGCTTACATTCCTGTGTAGACATACCCCCAGAAAAAGAAATGAGTTTAAGAGGTTAAAGCAGGTAAAGATATGTTTACAGGTGAGTTACAGTCTATAATTTCAAAAGGTAGCAGAGATGAAGGTGATTAAATCAGAACAGTAACATGATCCAACTGGTTCCAATTCAGCACAAACGGAGCAGAACTTTAGAAGATGAACATAGCAGGAATGAGGCATATGTGGGAGTGGACACTTATTAGTGGTAACTAAAATAAGAATTCCAACAGTCAAAAGACTAAGATTTTTTCTTGTGCCCATATTTATAGCTTCTGCTCACAGAAACCACATGAGCACGATGGCCGTACATGGGTTCTTTCTTCATGGCGGGAAAAAGAGGAATGCATTTAGAGACTGATCTTTGATCTCACACACAGTGACCATTTGCTTTCAATGTGCAGGAATTAACACCTTTCTGTTAGCCGGGGCCGGATTTCCAATTAGGCACAGTAGGCACATGCCTCGTGGCACTGTCATTCTAGGGGCACCTAAAAATTCAAGGTTTGCTACTCCCAGGCCCCAGCAGGGGAGACTGACTGGGAGATGGCCCCATGCAGCCTGGCTGAAGCACTCCTGCCAGCAGGGAAGGCAAAGCAGCCCCCTATGGCAGGGGAAGAACTCAGGAGAGCAACACAGGGGGCCGTGCCAGGCAAGTGGGTCCTGAGGCAGTCTGGCCTGGGTAGGCACCACTTCTGTTCCTGCTCCAGCCTGGCTGATCACTGTTCCGAGAGGTCAGAGCGATCCCCGACCGGCCCTGGCCGCGCTTCCAGCTTAGCCCGGCAGATAGTCACCTCCAGTGGGGCTAGTGAATGTGGCTGTGGGGGAAGGGCACAGGAGAGTGGGTCTCTGAGGGGGTTTGTGGGGTCACTGGGCATTGAGGGAGTTGGGGGGTGCTGGGCATTGCGGGGCTTGTGAGGGGTAGGGAAGACCTGTGTGTGTTGAGTCGCTGGGCAGTTGGGAATCTGTAGGAGTGAGACAGGGTTGGGACTCACCACCGTGGCACCTCCTACTGGTTGTCTCGGGAATTAGCTCAGTCCAGTGGAGCACCCCCTCTTGGTGGTGTCCCATCCACTGTCTCGCCCTCAGTTGGCATGTCTGAGCCCACATCACTCACCAACTCGTGGCGTCCTCTTCAGGGCCATTGCCCTCCGGCAGTGCCCCTTAGTCCATCCTCACCCCCTTCCGGAGGGAGGGTGTCAATCAGGTGCCTCTCTGCACCCGGCCAATGTGGCCAACTGCACCCCCAAAGTCACACCCCTCTTGGCAGGGGGTTGGTGTAGCTCTAGATGGCCGCTCCTGTCAGCCAGGTGCAAGGCAATGGGGGGGACCCAGGCCCACCCACTACTCTGGGTCCCAACCCAGGGACCCTCTAGTGGCAGCCGTTCTGCCCTCCTTCTCTCCTTCTGTCTGCCCACATCCCTGGGCTGCTTCCCCTTCAGCCCCTCACACTAACTAGGCCCTTCCCTTCAGGGCCTGCAGACTGGCAGACACCAGAATTACCCTCTGCTCCCCTAGGCCTGCCCAGCACTGCGCTGTCCTAGGTGCTAGTTTCCCAGCTCAGGAGACAGCCCTTCCGCTGCTGAAGGCCTGGGACAGACTCCTTACTCCCTTCCTGGGCAGCCTTCTTATAGGGCTGAGCCTGGCCCTGATTGGCTGTCTCCAACCTGGGTCCTGATTGGCTCCCAATAAACCCTTCACTGCTTGGCTCCCTGTCTGTGCAGGCCCATTGGCCTGCTGCAGCCCATACTCTCAGGGAGTGGGGCACTACAAGGAGGTACTGGGCAATTGAGGTGGTGGGGCTGTGCGGTTGGTGCTGGGGAGAGGGGGTGTGCATGGTGCTGTGCAGTTGTGGAGGGCTATAGAGAGGGTATCTGGGTGGGGGGCACTGAAGATGCTATGCCTAGGGGGACGTAAGGTATAACTCCAGCCCTCTCTGTTCGAGTTCTTAATCTGCATTACAGACAGCTTCTTTCTTGTTTGAGTTACTTGCTTACAGAGGCACATACAATGTAAATATTTGCTATTACATTAGAACAGGGTACAGATAAGTGAAAACAATGCATGCTACAGTCCACCAGATTTTCATGAAGTTTAAATACTAAACACATTCTTATACATTGAACATCTCCTTTGAACGATATTAAAATACCACTCAGCTGGTCTGGCTTCCAGCTATGAGTTTCAGTTCTTAGCTCATGCCTACAACCTAGGCCAGAGCTGGCCCTTGGCTTATCAGTATGACAAGCACCATGCTCTGAACTGGAGCACTGGCTTCTGCTCTACCAAACTGAATGCAGACAGACAAACCCCATTAATCTGAACTGGCTGTAAAAGTAAATACAAGAGTAAGTGAAATGTTCCTGTCTTCTTGCAGCCGGGGTGGAGTTGGAGTTCCCACCTGTTTTCAACAGTGTCAGGCCAAATCTGCAGCCCCACAGCAGCTGCTAAAAACTCTTCCCCTTTCAAGAGCTGTGTTACTGATGTCTGTGGGGAGGGAGGGGGTGTGAGGAGCACTTGAGAGCTGAGATCATGCTTCTTCCATAGGGAGATTCTATGACCTGGATTTTTGCAGTCCCTGCTCCCTGTAAACACTGAGTAGTCCCACAGCGATCAATGGGATGTCCATGTCAGTAAGTGCTCACTGCCCTGAGTAAGGGCTGCACAATCCAGCCCTTTACATCCAAAAAGGACATTGCTGTCCCTGCCCAGAGCTCACAAGGTGAGTGGGGTGTGGGGGGAACAGGCCAGGCTACGGACTGCACCAGCGCTTCTCTCCCCCTTCCCCAAGGGAAGGGCACCTGGCTGGCAGTGAGCTCAGCAGGCCGGGCAGTGACAGTGACACAGATCCTGTGGGAGCATGGCTGGGCTTCAGGGTCTGTGGGCTCAGGTGTTGTGTCTGCAGAGAGAGTTAACACATCCTTTTTCTTCCCTGTTTTCCTCACAGCTTGAAGAAAGAGTATTTAACTGAAGAAATGAGGGCAGAACTGGATGCTGTGAAAGACACAAAACCTGATCTGGTTATACAGATACTGGATTGGTGAGTGGGAGCCACTGCACCAATGCAGCTCTGACCTGGCTGCCCTGCCACTAGCTGAGGGAGCAGCTGGAGAACACCTGCCCCTATTGAAATTGCCATCCCCAGGGACTCCAGCAGCAAATGTCAACATCTGTGGCAGGGGGCTGGGTAGAGATTGTGAGGGCCAACCCTCCTGCATGAAGGCAGGAGGCTTAGGAGTAGGAGCTGGGTTTGCTCTATTCTCACTGTGCAGTGGGGTAGCTGTTTTCAGGGAAAAGTGGGGGGGGGGCAGGAGGGAGAAAGGGGATCAGGGCCTAGGGGAGGTAGAGATGCGGGATTATGAGATGGAGGGGTCTGGAAACCTCCCCTTTTCAGTCTGTCAGTGCAGGGGGGAGACTCAAGAACTATCCTTGGGTCCGAAGGGGAACTGTCCTTCTCTTACAATGGTTCATACTATTACGTGTATATTTACAAGGGGGTTGTAATTTTACACAACTCCACAGCTATTAAGTCAGCATTTTTCTGTATCCATCTCCAACAGAGGCTTATCCTGGATGTATATTTGTGTCAGTTTTGCTGGAGTTCAATAAAGATCATGTATCAAGAAATAATTCTGCACTTTTAGAATTTCTGCTAAATGCAAAAGAATTTTCCCATTCTCCAGAGCTGGGGGTGGGGGGGGAGTCCTCAGGGATGTTTCACAGAAATTTTCTCATGGTCCCAATTTCTTATCCATTCCAGTCAATACTTTCAGAGGTGTGTGCTGGCAAAATGACAGTTTGATTGGCTAAAAGGGGGAGGGATGTGTTTTTCCTCCCCCCCATTCTCTGGGTGCTCCTGGCTTTTTCTGAAAAGTGGTGAGGGCAACAAAAAAGGACCCGGAATATCCAGGTGGGAGGGAAGAACAAAGGAGCAGGACAGAGAGATGGCTAAGGACAACACGGTCGATCACCTGGTATTTTAAAAAACCCTAACAGGCGCCCCATGTGACTAGACAGATGTTGCTGCTTTAGTTAAGCCTGGTGCATGACTGAGGAGGGACAAGTGAACAAGCTCACCTCACAACCACTCCCTTGCTCATACAGATACAACACACATGCAGGCCCCATTAGACAACAATTAAGATACCCCCCCCCCCCCCAACACACAGAGTGTGTACTTGTTTGTGGGCTTGACCAGGTAGGAGGAGGACTGAACTTTCTTTAGCTCAGTGCTAAGAAGTGTTAGAAGACTATTGCATTTTGAAAGACGGTTCTTCATGTGGTGGACAGGGAATAATGTAATGTGGGAACCTCTTGACCAAATGAGTCCAAATTTGAACCACAAACTCTACCCTGGACCTTCTACTAGCCTAGCAATTTCCAGGCTTAGCTAATTACACAAATGGATTTTAAAGCACTTTCAAAGCTCAGCTGTTCATGACAACTGCAATAGAACCACTTCCCCCCCTCCCCGCCGTAATTGAAAAGTGGCCTCAGGGAGAGTCCTAAGCTAGTTCACAAACTGTGAGTGTGGATGAAGATCCATTACATGCTCAGTGGCACCTCTGCAGCTTTCTCATACAGTGCACTCTTATAAAAAGAGTTGAAAACAATGCAGAAGGGTGAGATATTTTAGGGAGAGTCCCAGGACTCCTGGTGAAGTTATTGGACACAAAATCTGAGCCTCCAGTGCATGTGGAGGTGGATTTTCGTAGGCTCTGTCTGCCTCCAGGTGCTTGGAGGGACAGTAATGCCTGGCTGAGGTGTGACTAGCAATGAGAGTGCAGAGAAGGTGTCACTCACCTGTTTTCAAATGCTCCTCATCTCTCATCCTTCTCTGGGGAATGTGTAGAGCATCTTATGTCTGCTTTTAACATGTTTCTGCTCTCTGAAGAAGTGTATATTTGTTTCCCTCTATACCAAAGGCAACTTAGCTCAGCGGCCATCAATTGGATTTTTCAGTATGTGAATTTGTAGCAATTTGAGCAGGACATGCAGAAGCTTATCCTGTTAAACCTGGACTGGTTGATATGGTAACTCCTCTCTTACAGGACTGGGATGGAGCCAATATGTTGCTGGGTCACAAGGGCCAAATTCTGCCCTGAGTTACATCCGTGCAGCTCCATTGACCATAGAGATTACACGTGGACAAGACCCAGGATCTTCCTGCCAGCGCAGGGTTGTTCCTGCAGAAGCCAAAGGGGCTGCACAGGGGTAATTCAAAATGGAATTTAGCCCTAACACACTCTAGGTGATTCTCCCCTGCACGGCCCCACGTCCACACAGCTGCATCTGAGCAAGGCTGGTGTGAAGATGGGTGTCCAGATCCCACCCCAGACATGAAGGGGTTAGGGAGCTGCCATGGGTTCAAGTAGCCCTGTGCTGCCGCACCTGCCAGGCATGTCAGGACTGGAGGGACGGTTCAAAGGGGGGAAGCCTGGCTCTGCAGGAGGTGGCTCTGGGAGGAGCACAAACCTCTAGTCCCCAACTCCTAGGGTGAGGCCTGGCCGAGGACAGAGCCTGCTCCCATGACTGCGGATGGTTCAGGCATCCTGAGAGGAAGGTGAGTTGGGCTAGAAACAGTTGTCTCAGGACACTTTCTGGGGGTGCCTAGAGGACACTGAGCTCGGCTGTGGCTGGCCAGAGGCTCCCTGAAGGAGTCACAGACATGTTGTTGTTATTGTCATCCTCAATCCCTGGAGGTCGAGGATGACTCTTCCACAGGTTTTATAAAAGTTGTTCCTGTGAAAGAAGCCCGTGCGTAAGTAGTTTAATGTAGGGGAGCCGTTGCACACCGGCAACCACACAAATCTTGGCGGAAGAGGCACCTGTGTCCGGTGGCAAGGAAGTCCAAGACAACCAGGGGTTTCTCCTCCATTGCATCCTTCATCTGCCTACCTTGCTGTTGAGGGATGATCCAGCTTCATCTGCCTGTTCTGCTGTTAAGGTCTTTCTAGGGCTGAAGGGACCTCAAGAGGTCATCTAGTCCTCTCCCGCACTGGGTCAGAGTTAATGGGGGGAAGGCCCATGACACATTTGGGACCAGCTGTTTGCTTTTCTTGGAGTTTTATCCTTCTCTGGGCCTAGAAGGGGTTAGCTTCCGTGGAACCAGTCAGAGAGGTGAGTTTCTGTCTCAGCCTGTACTGCTGACAGCCTGGTGCTGGCTGACAAGGGGCTGGGTGAGTATAAAACACCCTTGTATCCCAAGGGGGCGCTGTGGAGGGACCATGCTCTGGACAGACAGATTCATTTCCTGGTTTTTGGTGCTGTCACACTTTGCTCCTGCTTTGCTCTGAGCAGACAGTGAGTCCTCTTCGTCCAGCTGGGGTGACTCTATGGGAGTAGGAAATGGAAATGGTCACACTGCCTGGCAAGTTATGGGTGTTTGACCACATCTCCCATAACTGCCTATGGCTCCCAGAATGCGTTGCCTGATTTCTCACAATCCATTGCTGTGCCAAGAATTGTGGTATAAGTACCCAGAGGGCATCGAAACTGCAAAGATAGACCCAGTTCTGTGGATACAGGGTAAAACTCGATACAGGGTAAAACTGCCCTGTAGTCAGACAGCTAGTGTGGAAGCAACGTGCCATGGCACCCTGCCCTGGCACCATCATTGCAGCACTTCTGGGTACTACAAACCCTTTGGAGTTACAAAGCAGCAGCTCTTCCCTCTCTGCCTGTCCCTGTCATCCAGTGCTCCATGTGGCCAACTGGGTGCCCATGAACCAGCAAACAGCTGCTGTACGTCCTCCTGGGCTCCAGAAAGGACTCCCCATTGGGCTTGTCTGCCCCATGCCTGATCACACCTGCTCAATTCCCTCTTGTATCTCCCTACCACTCCCTTGCTGGTCTGGCCTCTTCAGCTCCTCCTCATTCTCATCCTGCTGCATC